AAAAGAAAAAGAAAAAGAGAAAAAAGAAAAATGAAGTGGAATATGTATGTACAAATATACCATAATGAAACCCAACACTTTGTATACTTGCCTTAAAAAAAGAAAAAGTAAAACAAAACAATTCAAGCTTGAAATTTATAAACTATAAAACTCACCTAAAACCTGGCCAGCAATCATTCTGCCATCCTCTCCAGCTACAGCAGCTCGGGCATTTCTTTCATTAACATATTGGACGAAGGCAAAGCCCTTATGCACAGAGCAACCCACAATTTTGCCATACTTTGAAAAGATTGCCTCCACATCAGACTTCTTGACCACAAGTGTATTGAGATTCCCAATGAATACACGGGAATTCATGGATCGAGGGTCTGTTTTGTTGGTAACATTGCTAGCCATCTCCTTTGATTACAAGGTCTCTCACAAAGCTGAAAATTGGAACAAAAGAGAAGCATTCAGGTTAACAGATATACATTATATTAATATAATACTCATTTTATCCCTCTCATATACTGGCAACACAATCTTCCTTTATAATAATTCCAAGTAAGTGATCCTTCTGAAAGTTGAAGTCCTTGAGCAAATTATAACTCCCTAAAATCTTCACTATCAGTTTTTGGCCTTTTCTGCATTCCTGGTTGTTAGAATCCTACAATTAACTCTAACATATTGTTGCAGTTCTCTCAAAACAGACCAACTTCAAATATCTTTCAAGTAAAGATATTTAATCTTTATCTTTCCAGTATACTTATACAAAGGCAAATGTTTCTAACTGGTCAAATATTCACTCAGATTTGATTTAGCATATGCTACAAAGCCATCTTTTCATAAGGTACAATTACTCTAAAACCACTTTTTATACCTAGAATATTAATATTGGATGGTGATGATGATAAAACTAGCCAGTGTAAGACACAGAACAAATAAGAAAATGCAACATTCAGGTTTTTTTTTTTTTTTTTTTTTTTTTTTTTCAGACAGATCTACTCTAGCAAAGATGGCCTGAATACTGGAATTCTGAATACTTCAGAATCCTGGAATTTTATGTTTGAGTCACCACACATCTCTGGTTCTAGTCTATTAAGAGTATTTGTTAAAAACCAAACTCTTAAAATGATAATGGAGTCAGTCTTACAAAAAGAAAAATACCCACTGACGCCCTTTTTAATTCTATTTCACAATCCTTTGTTTGCTGCCTGTTACCAATGTAAATCCTAACATCAGAGTTCAAATAATTTATAGGGCCCCCATCCTTTTGAAAATAACTAAAAAATATTTAAGCTGGGCCTAGTATTTTTCATCCTTCCTATCCTCAAGTGAACCATGACAAACTAATTCTCAGCAGATGTTTTTCTGTAATACAAAAAACAGGTAAGTCTCCTGTTATTTAAATTTTTACTGAAGAGTTCAATAGTTTTAGAGCAGTCAAAAGATTTCAGGCCCCATTACAGCATGTGCACATGTGTGTGCAAGGTTGCTCACATGTAGAAGTCAAAGGACAACTCTCAAGAATCCGTTCTCTCCACCATATGGTGAGGAATCAAACTGAAGTGTCAGTCTTGGCAGAAACCATCTTGTTTCCCCCTACACTTTACTTAGTTTAGTATAAGGTAAATAAATGACAGGCCAAATTTATTAAGGAATATGATCCATATCCTATGATGCATACAAAATAAATAAGGTCTCAGTATTAGGCAGTCATCACCACCACCAATAGTGAGAATGGTAAGTAGAGCCAAATTACTGAATAGAAGAGGTGTAAAAGGAAGCAACTAAAACATTCTTAAGGAAGCAACTAAAACATTCTTAAGAAGTAACTCATCTAAACATTGTCCCTAGGCAATTTATGTCTAGTAAAATGCTTGGTATGTCCTATAAAGTTCTCTCATGCACCCACCAATCCCTTCTTTGACAATCAATTTCATGGTCCTGTCTCCCTGAGTACTAAACTAAGTCTATGGAAGTGCCATCTTTGCTAATGATAAATCCTCTATTGACCTGTTCAAGGACCTAGGTTATTTTACCCCTAATTTCCAAAAGTAACCAAGGTTCATCCTTAAAATGAGGGGGTAAAAAAAAAAAAAAAAAAAACTAGAGGTGGGCTGTAGTTGCACATACCTTTAATCCCAGCACTTGAGAGAAAAGGGCAAGAAGATCTCTGAGTTTTGAGGCTAGCCTGGTCTACAGAGTGAGTTCCAGGACAGCCAGAGCTACACTGAGAAACCCTATCCTGAACCCCCATTCCCAATTCAAACTTAAAAAGGGCTCAGTGGTAGAGGACTCCTGTAGCATGCTGAAGTTCCTGATCCCTTAGCATTTAAATGTATTACTCAGTCTGCCACCTAAAATTTTCTCTTTTTTAGTATCACTCATACAACACTCCAACCATGGCAGTCTTTAAAAAATTACAGGAAAAAAAAAATGATGTTAAGAATGGTGATATTGCCAGGGAGTGGTGGCACATGCCTTTAATTCCAGCACTAGCAAGGCAGAGGCAAGCAGATCTCTTGAGTTCAAGGCCAGCCTGGTCTACAGAGAGAGATCCAGGACAGGCACCAAAACAGAGAAACCCTGTCTCAAAAAAAGAAAAACAAAAACAAAAACCCAAAAAAACAAAAAACAAAAGGGTGGCATCACCAGGAAGGGTAGAGGCAGAGACAGTTGGTTCTGAGTCTCAGGCCAGCTTGGACTACATAGTGAGTGCCAGGACAGCCAGGGCTATGTACAAGACTATCTCAAAATAACAGCATCAATAGATAAAATTAAGCCAGGCAATGGAGCACACCTTTAATCCCAGTACTCAGGAGGCAGAGGCAGGCAGATCTTGAGTTCCAGGACAAGGCAGATGGATCTCTGTGAGTTGGAACAGCTAGACCCGAAACCCTGTCTCAACCCTCACCACCCAAAAAAAGAAAATTAAAATGTCGGAACTTGTTTTAAAGCAATATGTAACTATGTGCTGGAGATGTAAGCAATGGAAGACATCCCTAGCAAAATCAAAGCTCTTGGTTTACTTTACTGCTCAGCAGTAAAGATCCACCAATACAAAAAAAGTTAACAAGATATACATGAGGCTCACAAAAATTATGCACCTGGTGACAATAGAGTTCAGTGAAATATTTGCCATGGAAGCCACCAGAACCCATCAAGACTATCTCGAGTTCAACCTCCACTCCAATATTCGCATTAATTAAAAAAAAAAAAAAAGATGCCAGGCAGTGGTGGTAAATGCCTTTAATCCCAGAAAGGTCTTGTCTTCAGAACTCAATTCTGATTAATCTTTAAATCATAAAAAAAAAAAAAAAATTAACTCAAGCCTGAGGGTATGTCTCATGTATATTTAAGGGTGTTTAAAGACCTGAACTGGAGTTTGAAGACAAGTGTGAGCTTCCATGTAGGTGCTAGGACTTGAACCCAGAACCTCTGGAAGAGAAAGCTAAAGTTCCTAAATCTGAAACCTTGCTGGCACTACCTCCATCCCCAGGAAATAGTGCTAAGTTGACAACTCAAGCTCTTCTGAGGGAATCAAACAGAGTTACTGCCAGAGTTTGATGTTAGCCTGGGCTACAGAGTGATTTCCAGTGAAAAGTGGAAAAGAGACACTGTCTTAAAGATAAGGGATCAAGAGAAATCACCTTCAACGTTAGGTAAGTCTTGACCCAAACCTCAATGCCTTAGGTTTGAAGTCCAGTTTTCAAGTATTTAAGTTCTTAATAACATATTAGGAAATAGCAATAAATAGATAGATAAAATGAAATTTAAGAGACTTAACAGGTTCCAGTGTCACTCAAGAATGTTTCCCTGGGCATAAAGTGTTGTTGGTACAAGCCTTTATACCAACACTCGGGAGGCAAAGGGTGGTACACAAGTGTTCCAAGTCAGCATGAAAGTGTTTTCAGCTTACTTATGTAGCAATAAAGTATAAAAAGGCATTTTCTTCTGGACATTTGATAGTCTTCCTTTTGATCACATAGGCTAATCACAGTATATATTAATTAGGGGTAGAGATCAATCATATTACTTAAAACTTAAAACTAGCCTACATTCAAATCAGCCTGCATTCAAATCAAATGGAACTCCTTTACTATCTAATGTACTCTCTGTATATATACTTAAGACAGTATCTTTACTATGCAACACTAGCTGCCATGTAATTCTCTATACAGGGCAGTTTTGGCCTCAAAAACCTCAAACATATAAGTAAAATTCTTCTTTCTTTGGACTATATTTTTAACATTTGTTTTTATTAATGTGTATGATTGCCTGCATGTATGTATGTTCACCTTTGTGCCTGAGGTCAGGCTGCATCCAATTTGCCTGGAACTGGCCTTACATACATGGGTACTAGGAATCAAACCTGGATCTTCTGTAAACCTCCCTCCCGCACTCCTGAAGCTATTTAACCAGCACTTACTAAGTGACACTGGATGGCATCAATGAGTCAAATTTTATGCAAGTTTTTATTCTTCCACAAACTCTTGTTTTCCAATACTCTTGAATGTATACTGGCAGCATCATAATCTGATTTAATGTTTCACCTATTTTGCTATGTCCTTTTTCCTTTGAAGACCCTTCCCATTTATCTTACATTACTGTTTTCTTTGAATTTTACTCCCTATGCAACTTTTTTCTATCATTACTGTCTGCTTCTGCTCTTCTCAGAGGTTAATAATGAGCTGCCTTGTATGCTGTGAGTCAGGTTTTGTTTTTTGGTACTAAGACGGGGATTAGCTGTGTAGGTCTAGCGGTCCTGGAACTCACTCTGTAGACCAGACTTGCCTTGTACTCAAGAGATCTTACTGCCTCTGCCTCAAGTGCTGAGATTAAAGGTGTATGCCACCACTGCCCAGCTTAAGAGCCAATTTAATTTAATTACAAGCCTCATTTTTATTGGCCCGTGTGAACACACACCTTTAATGTCAGAGGTGAGATATCCTCAGGCCTATCGAGGTCATATGACAGAGGGAGAAAGAGAGAAAGAGAAAGAAAGCAAATAGTTAATAGTCACCTTTAAAAACCTCGGTGGTGGTGGTGGTGGTGGTGGTGGTGGTGGTGGTGGTGGTGGTGGTGGTGGTACACTTAAACCTAGCACTCAGGAGAGGCAGAGTCAGAAAGACCCTAGAACTCTTGAGTTACATGCCAGCATAGTCTACAGTTCCAGGGCAGCTAGAGCTACATAGAGAAACCCTGTCTCAAATACAGATTTCAGGTGGTGGTGGCAAACGCCTTTAATCCCAGCACTCAGGAGGCAGAGCCAGGCGGATCTTTGTGAGTTCGAAGCCAGCCTGGGCTACCAAGTGAGTTCCAGGAAAGGCGCAAAGCTTCACAGAGAAACTCTGTCTCGAAAGAAAAAAAAAAAAAAAATCAAATACAGATTTCCCAGAACCCACAAAGCTGCAGAGGTATAGTCAATCCAGTATTCAGAAGG